TTATTTGCCATTGTTAGTTGACTCTAAACCCATTTATTTATGACACCAAGAGAGATAAACTGACGGAAACGACCAAATCCAAATTAAAGTCTTGGGACCTTTCGGTCTGCACTTGTCTGTAACTGATCTAACATGGAAGATGAGCATGCTCTGGCCGTTCCGTTCAGCATTCACATTGTTTGCAAAAGTTTTAAGCAGGAAACATTTGCCGTTACGCAACCAGCAACTCATACATCAGATGATTTTCCCAGAGTGACCTCGTTCAGGTGTTGTTGGCACCAAAACTCCGAACGAGCTTGTCGAGGAGATGTGTAACAGAAAGTACATTCAAACTCCTCCCAGAGATAGTGTGGAAAGAAGCGGGGCCGTGCTAGGAGGTCTAACCGGTGGTTGGAATGATCAAAGGCAACCAAATAACGATTTTGACCTCGATAAGGTAAATGACTTCAAATAACCGTCGGATACGGCTGACTGAATGAATTAGTTGACAAAAAGAGACGAACTTTGGTGAGGATTGTATCCTAACACTCAGACCAAAATACGATAAAGGCGAGCGTCTGATTGCTAACTTAGCGGCGGTATCTATCCCGCTACCACATATCGTTATCTTAAATCAGCCGTAGAAAAATTCGTCTGTAATCAACAGGCCGAAAAAAAAACCCAGTAGGAATGCCTTTTTGGATGATTTTGGAAATTATATACTAATTTCGCTTCAATAGTTTTGTGAAACAGATGGAGAATTGATGTTGCAGTTATCAAAACGTTCCTTACACCCTTAACTTCGACTGCCCTGATACTGAAGTAATGTTGCGTCTAGTGCCAACTTCTCGGCTTCGCGTGCTCTCTTGTTGGCCTCGTCCACTACCCGACAGAGAGACATCGGGCTCAGATGGATGAGAGAAGAGAGAGAGAGTGCGGTTGATGCTGCGTAAATTCTACTATCACCTCCAGCCTATCTAGCGCTTAAGTCACTGCACCAACCTGTTTAGAGCATAAGTGGGCATCACTGAAATTGATGGCCGAACTGTCGCGTGAAAAACAGGGGGGTTTGGTGGCTCACAAACCAGTCTTGGCGCTTGACTGGCACAAAGCTTTATCAACTGACTTTTAATGGTTACATCACTCATGAGCATCTGCCTTTATCTGTTGGTCTGCCTCAAGACCACTCCAGTATAACCAGCGTGTTCACTCGATCACTTCCGCGGATATCCCCATAATTTATGCTTATTGTAAATATAAGATGCACAGTATCAGACATTGATGCAGTATAGGAAGTGCCATGCCGTCATGCTTAGCTGATTCGGGAATATTTTGTGCTCTTGTTTAGACAGGAGGTTCTGTAAATTCCAAACTATTGCTAGATACGGTAATGATTCTATAATTAACCTGTAGTCTATATTTAGCCAGACATGGTAGAAGTTGAGCCAATCATGCATAAAGACGGTACGCTATGGCTGAGGGTTGTCTATCGAAAACTACAGCCAGTGACTACAAAAGATGATTCTCCTTTGGCTCGGATAGACGAAACCGTAGATACCATGTCGCGTATTCGAGCTTTTTCGGCACAAGATTTAGTCGCCGGATATTGACAGCCATTAGCCAGGCCGTTTTCACTGTCATCCCTTTCTGGAGCCGACGTTCTACGTGTATATTTATCTGCTCGTTAGATCTAAAAGTGGTCAATAATATTGCACCGTTCTTGTTGCACTGCATTGGATTGTTTTATTGTCTTACTGTAGCCGCTTGCTACTGTATTTTCATACTGTTAACCTTTAGTACCTTACTTATAGTTGTGGCATATTACTTCTAGCAGCAGTATCCTAGCCCAAACTTAGTAGAATGTGACACAGCTTTTGGTGGATAGAGTTGAGAGGGCGGAAACCAAAGTAAGCCCTGATGTGCACAGGGCGTCAAATATGTATTTACTCGGAATAACGTAGACCCAGATTCCCACTTCGTTTTGAGATCAAGGGAGTATGAGCTGCAGCCTGTTTTTTAGTACGCGTCACCCATGGCTAATACTACCGTCAGAAATAGTACCAGTACTACTTACACTCGGCTGCATTGCTAGCTATTAGTGGTAGAAAAAATAGTAGCCGCATCATTCTCGGCCTCCTTGAGTCTGTCTTGACACCTACTGAAGGTGAGTGAGGGTAAGTAGTGCGGTAGTACCCGCACAAAGTCTGCTGTTACTTAAGACTAAGTTAGGCGGTGTTTCTGTCCTTCATTTGAGAAAGCGGCCAATGCCAGATCCAGTCTGGTTTTCTTGACCCATAGCAAAGGTGGAGAGTGCGGTAGGCGCTAAATACGTCTGCTATCACTTTAAAGCTGCCCCCTCCCACTGTGGCCAGTCATCATCACTGTACCAACCTGTTCGTGATATGATGGACTCCATCGAACTGGATGGTCGGCCAATCAATCAGTAATCTTGACACACTAAATGGGGTAAGCAAATCCCATATTAATACTTTACCATACTCGC